TCTGAAAGTCAGTTCTTACTTATAACGTATTCTTTGTTTAAATGAACATTCGATGCGATTTATTTTTTTTAGGGCTTAATTGTTAATGTTTTTGTCAGTACATGTATAATTATATGTAAAAGTTTTTTTATGACAGTCATCGACAATAAAGCTGAAAAAATGGTTTTCTTTCTGGGATTTTGGCGATGAGTGTAGTGATTTTATGTTTGTAAAAAGGTGGAATTCAACCATAATATTTCGATGACAACACAGCTTTGGTATTCCCTCTTACACGCTTTATATCCTTAATGAAGCATTATAAAATGCAAGTGTACTTTTTTTTATTCGTCTAACAGTGTACCGTCTTACGGAAAGTAATAAGATGGCCTGCCGGGCACCTTTCGGATAATCCTGTGTTATTTTGTTTTGTTTGGGGGTATGGGTGCGTTCAATGAATGTTGTCCTTCTTAGTCAATCTTTGATTTCATGATTAACCGAATAAAATAAAGCGGTTGTTTTATCTTTTTTATGTTTCAAACATCGTTAGATTCTTTCTTATTGTATTTATTAGTATAACTGTTTCAACTTCTTTAAAATTTTTCTTACTTACTGATGTATATGTTGATTAAGGACAGAAGTTTAGAATCGCTACATTAGACACATTGGTTGCATAGTAAAGTCTAGCCCCTAATCCTTCCCTAGTTAAATCAAGATCAAGGCGGGAGTACGCCTGACACAAACCGACGTTTGTAAATAAGTTTGATTACTCAAAGTCTATTGAAAGGTAGTACCTTTAGTTATTGAATTTTATTGTTTCGATGTTGATTTTGGGAGTGATCTTTAACAAAGTCGTTCTAAATAGGAAACAGCTTGATAGGAAAAAGTATGTGTGCTAAAGTCTACCATTTTACATGTTTTACCTTAAAAACTTATCCAAGTCTTAGGCATTTCTGTAACATGCTTGACAGTCTTCAAATCTGTTCTGAGAATGTCATGTTCAAATAATGTCGAATAGCTAAAGAAAAAAAGTGTAGTGTTTTATATAACAGTTTGAATGTGTTGGAATAAAAATCATTCTTTATCTAATAAAATTCTTTTTGTGAAATAAACAGAAAACTTTTAGAAATACGGCCATTTTGTATCATATTTTAAACTCAGAGCTACTATTGAAACAGAAATTACAATTATTCAAACGAAAGTTGAGTGCCATGAGAAATGGTCCTATTCAAAACTATATATATAGTAAAAAGCCCATATAAATTGAGAACGATTAAATAAAAAAAAATGTCCGCTATAAAATATGCGACTAACATATCAGATCACTTACCTTTCTTATTTATTTGTATCACCTTTCTTTAAAAACATTTTTGTACATGGAAAATTGAACAAATTATAACATCCTAATAAAACATTACATGTAAGCATGCCATATACACAAACTACAATGTATAATATGATGTAATTGAATATATACGGAACATCATGTTTCTGAGGCTTTGAATTTTAATACGCGGAGCGTTGAAAATTGCTGTCTGGCGAGAACGAAGGTCGGCCGAGATATCAATTTTACAACGCAGAAAGCAACAAAATATATGGCCTCAGAAAGCAATTACAAAATAATTACCATACCTTACCGTTTTAAGACAAAAAGAGTGTAAATATATTTAACTTCTACTAGTTATTTCAGTAGTTTTAATATAGCTGTCAAGAAAAAAATGCATGGAGGGCAAAAGATACCACACCTACAATAGTTTGGGTTCACGTTCCAAAATGCTACGTTATACACAGATAAGATTGGATCCAACATGAAAATTAGTTCAGCACTTCCTCATTGTCACGAACATAATAGGGTAGTTCCTATCAGTTGAAGCGATTCCGCAACGGAATCAGATAATTGGTGTTTAAACGGTTGACTCTGGAACATATGTGTTTTAATGAAAGTTTATACAATCAAATTTAATATAGAAATGACAAAGAGCTTCATTAACGCGGAAATCTCCCGCATATTTCGCTTAGGTAAGGTCTTTGGGCTTTATATTGTGTAAAGAGGACCCTCTAAACTAATTGAAAACGAATCTAAAACGGAATCAGACAAATGCTCTGTTAACGATTAGCTTGGTTTGGTTTTTTTATTCAAAATTTCTTAGACTTTATTTACTTAAAGAACTTATCGCCGTTCATAAAAAGCGACCGTATTAAGCGGGGCTCTCACTGTACTTGTGTCGCTTGAGCTTGGAGCTTTATATTGCTGTGATGACGATTCTCTTAACTAATATAATCTATTTGATCAATCCAGTAGGTAGCGCGTTCATTTAACAATAAAGAACGACCATGCCACACGGAAAAAAACAGATATTTTGCTTTGGTAAGGTCTTTAGGCCTTATATTGTGTAAAAATACCCTCAGAACTAAGGAAAAAACGAGAAAATAAAACGAATCTGCAACGGAATAAGAGAAATTGTCTAATAACGATTCTTGCTGTTCTCTACAGATAGGCATTAGACGAAGTATCAAAATTATGTTATCCATGGAAGTATAACAAATTGTTGACTATTGTCAGAATAAATGTAAAAGTTATTTGAAAGAAATAAAATGGATCTAAATTATTCAAATTTTAATGAGCAAGATTGTTTGGCCAGTTTATCTATTGGCTATTTGGACAACACCATGTTTGTTCTCTAAATCGTGAAAATCAGATCTCATTGTTGGTTTTCCGGCTTTAAAAATAAGAAACGCAATCGATTTCAAAATTGTGAAATCTCGTTGATTATTGGCTTTTAAAAAGATTATGATAATCTATTAGTGATCATAAGATCCTAATGTGAAGCTTATTTTAATCAGATTGGGTACTAACCGCTTAGCAAATGCTCAAAGTGTTTGCAAACTTCACTCAAAGACAATTTGCAAACATTGCTATCAGAAATCATGGGAACAAAGTTACTAACTCACAAAACACGATAAAAGGCCTGTAGAAAGTAGTACGACCATGTTTACAAAGAACATCTTTTATTACCTACATTCTTTTTCTGTGATGGTATCGCTGTACAAAGTCAGGTGCCGAAGTACAAAAGTTTTTCTTGTCGGAAATAAAATATCAGCAGAAACGACGCCCAGTGTCATGATTTTGGCATGTTCGTATTTGTTATGATAATACTTCATCACATACATCTGAGCTTGTTAAGCATTTTTTCGAAGGCGGAAAAGATTACCAAATCCATTATTCTGTCCAATTTGACTTTTGCCTTTTTTTCAAAGTTTTTTTTAACGTATCCTATACTGACGGCACCCATTGTGCTACCAAAAGTACAGGTACAGATAAACGGGGATGAAAGATGGGCCAATTACTAACCAAAATTGAGCTTAAGTATGAGTATTTATGAATAAAAATTCCGGATATATGAAAATAAAGAATAGTGGACGAGTAAAATTAAGCGAAAAGTCGAGTTCACGATGGAACGCAAAAAGAAACCTACATTTACACAAGAGATAAAAAAGGTAATATAGTTAAAAAAAGGGCATAATGCAGTTCAAATCTTTGTCAGACGTATTTTCTAAGATGATTAAATTAAACTTTGATCCCGGACACATGTTTTAAGTTTCAAGTAGAAATCTTGAGTAGTTTTTAAAATTTATGTGACATGCATAACATTAACCAAGTCCACAAAGGGCAATTACCAATGCCATACCTTTTTGTTATGGTATCGGGGTCGTCCATAGTATTTGTTTTGCTCCACAGAGATCAAAAGCGTAAGGGAGCATTGGCACCGTTTAAGCTATGAGGTCTGTCAACTGATTGGCGTAAATACTTGTTTGGAGGATATCCAACTTACTGTATATTTTTCTCCCCATTTACCTTAAGAGACATATTAAATTTTATTATTATAAACCAACATTTTAATGAAATTTTCACTGCAATTCATTATTACTCCGAGTGCCATTCATCATTAATTGGGGTTATGGGAGAGAATGAAATATTACGTTTTCTAAAAACTATATACTTATTATTATTAGATTACTTGCACCTTATAATATATATAATTGCAAAAAATTATTATTGACCCCGGATAATATTCATTTCCAGGATGATAGATCGAAGTTTCACACACATTAGGCTATAGAATAAAACCTTTACGTGACGTATAAAAATAAAATAAAATGAAATAATAAAATCAAAAATATTAAAAGCATCAAATTAAGTTACATTTGATATAAGAACAAAAAAGGGCAATACATAAAATCAAAAATATATCTAATGTATATTTGCATTTTCCTGAAATTTGTTTATAGATACAAATAAAACAGTAAAAAGGAAGAGATATATCCAAAATTGAAAGTTAAGGTTTTTATTTTGAGAAATCCATATAGTTAAGATGCAATTTAACTGAATTCAAAGGTAATTTTATAATTGTAGTGATTTGTTTGTAGAGGTAAAAATGAGAATAGATAACACCTTAAGAAAAATTAACATGTCTGGAATTATTGAAAAGATAGGTGAAGAACACATACTGTTGTCACCTAAACACATGTTTTTTAACTGTTGACTCCCTTTTCTTGTTCATCTGTGATCTGACTAAAGTTCAGATCAACTTATTTCTTACATGCGTAGCGTCATGAAGCAGCTGATTTGAATCAGATTGTGATTTCGTAAGTCGTGCTGATTTAACGGCAGTTTTAAATATGTTATTTATTTCTGTATTGTCAATCCGCCACATCTTAATACTTTTTCACTTTTATAATATTGCTGAATAAAATTAAATTTAATAAAGATTATTTCATTCAACTGATTGCCTGTATACACACCTTTAGTACTGACAGCCCTAATATGGAACGCGTCACTACTTTATGTGTATAAGAGTGATAATTTTCAATTTATTTGGGTAAAAAGTTGAAAGATTAATTGCCCTTTCAATGATTTTGAGAAGATAAAATTGTTGAGAAAAATGCATAATTACATCAGCTATTGTGTTTAATCCTATTATATATCAATTTGGGTCAGTAAAGTATTTCCACTTACAAACACGGATGCGATCGCTTTATTTTACAATAAAGGTTGTTTAGAACAAACCTGAAGTGTAAAACGTTTGCTTAACAAAACTTGATCATGCTGGTTTGGATTTTATTATTTTGGGGAAATATTTACTTATTTGTAAATTCTATGGAGCCAACGTGTAACCCCTACTATGAAATTCTTAAAACAGTCCTGAAAATCGAGCAAAGGATTGATACGATGGAAAATGTTATGCAGGAACAGCGCAATATTATCAGCAAAATGTCAAGTGAAGGTAAAGTACATTTTGTGAGGATGGACGTGGACGACACAATACTAATGTCCAAATGACGTAAATGGTTGATACTTCTTTAAAGTAGGAACCTGACGCTTGTTTTGACATTGACAACGTTTTCTTATTGAACAGCAGCAGAGAAGTAAAGGAATGAGAAAAAGGCTGTCAAGCTATGTTTTAACATATGGAAGTATTTTGTTCCTTTTTTCATTTAGTTTCCCAAATGGCATAAGTTAAATATGATTTTCCTTAAAGATCCTGTATGCTGTGATCAAACTGGTAAACCGCACTAAATGAAATTAAATATATGTACATTATTATACAAATAAAACAATTTTCAGACATCGAAGAATATGTAAAATATATTATATATAATATATGTAAATTTCATGAAAAAAGCTCTGGAAATTCATGGAGAAAGTACATGAAAATTCGCAATTTTTTTCAGTTTTCTTTAAACAACTTTGAATATGTAAAATATGTACTGCAAATATTTGTGCATATTATATCTAATCATTAAAATATATGCATTCAAGTCTTACTGTAAAATTTTACTTAAACTTTATAGAAATTAATGTTTATTACCTCCCTTTATTTACATGAAATGTTAAATTCGCTAATATCTTTATAAATAATGCTTTTTGGAACCTACAATATTGATAAATCTTAATTCGAGCATCATATTTATGATTTAAAACCATAGAAAACGTGTTACAGGATCTTTTTTAACCATAATGTTTGATTATCCCCCACCCCATTATTTTATTAAAAAAAGGTAGCAGTATCACACACCCTTCTTTAATTTATGATCTTTTATGACTGAACTTGCATATTTGGACAAGGTTCATGTCCTTGTATTCCATTGTCGATCCTTGTTTGTATAATTGAATGCTTTTAAATAAACGTACTCTTCATTTCCATTTTAGGCAATGGAGCGGTGTTTGTAAGATGGGGCCGTAATATTTGTCCGGACACTTCAACTCTTGTTTACAATGGTAAAAGGATAGTTTTAATATGACACATTATTCTATTGTTTCATTTAGAAAGATTGCCACTGATTTACAATACGAAAATTTAATATTATGTTTTAGTTGTTTTAGTTTTCATTTGCATTAAATTCGCTTCTTCTTATTATTATTTAATTATTTATTTTTTGCATTGTGTATAAAATATATCAATGTGTCGACTTGTTACTATAGGATATACTGCAGGGAAACACTATAACAAGAAAGGAAGCGGAAGTGATACAATATGTCTCCCAAGTAACCCTTCATGGGCAAACTATACCGGAAAGAGTAAGCCAACATCACTTATCTACGGTAAAGTACAGTCCCTGAGGACCTTTTGTGTGCAAAAAAGGTCCATAGATAAATGTTATACCAATGTAGAGCTAAATGTTTGAAGTTTACAAAAAATTTTGGGTAGACATGTCAAATCATGGTACGTTTTGAGAAATCCAAGATGCCGCAAAGATGGCCGCCAAATTATTGAAAAAAACGGCTAATACTCAATTTATATGATAAAATTAGTTCTTTTTGTATTTATATTTTGGTACAGGTGATGTTAAAAACTTCAAATCTTATTGCGAACAATATGAAAATGGAGGCATTTCCATTATTTTTTCATATTCTCTGAATTTCATAGATAAATTTGCTAAAAAATGCATGAAAAAATCATCAAAAATTGATATGGGGCTGACATTTTTTCCTACCAGCTTATGCATAGCGGTGTAAATGAATATTTTTAGCATATACTACAAAGACTTGAACAAGATCATACTAAAATCAACCTTATTTTTTTTCTTTTTTGTAAAAGAATGTGGATTCTGATATTCTTAAAGTGGGTGGGGTAACAAAAACTAAGTCTCAGTATTTTGTTAACTGGTTTGTTATGATAATTAAAACTATGAATAGTCAACATGTATTGCCCTTTGGCATGTACCTAAAGATTTGAATAATTAAGAAACTTAGACTGATATTTTGTTTGTCAATACTCAACATGTTCTGTTGCCATGGCAACGGAGAAGTAAAATGAAAGACACACCTGAAACGTATGACACTTTTAGCATTTTAAGCATGTTGTTAAGAATGACACAAACTATAGATAAATAATCTGTGCACAATGCCATGGTAACAAATTGAAAAAAAATGTAACATTAAAAGAAGTCACATTTAATTCTAGCAAATTATCAACACAGATATTTTGAAATTAGATGAATAAATTTATTTCAAGAATTTGCATCATGCATTTGCTTTTTTCAAACTGCTATACATAGAAAAAAGGTCATGTCAAATGTGAATGTTGTTACGTTTGGAAAGGATAATTAATGGTGATAATAATAAGTAAAAGGCAGTCTTAAGGTAGAAATGTATATAACATTATCAAATGTTTGAAACTGTACATAGGGTAAACATTTAAGACTTTGCAGCTAAAACGAGAAATAAATAGGTCACTGGTTCAAATTCTAGGTCAACCAATATCAAATTTTAATGACAATCAAATGTATTGTTGAGTTCCAACTTTTTTGGTTATAGCTTGTATTATGAAATTCTAACTTGCATAAGATAAAATTCTAGGTCAGCTGATCTCAGTGTATAATTCTGCATCTGAAATTTTACAATCAAATACAAAAAGATCACTAGAACAAATTAAGGTCAGCTGGCATATCATATTGTGTCTGTTATACAAATTTCTTTAGCTTCAAAAACAAGAAAGTAAGTCACGAGGTCCTTAAATTCTAGGTCACCTTATAACAAAGAGGAACACAAGACAATTCTTCCAACCAAATGGTCTTGCAATGTGGTTTCTGACATAAAGAGTTTTTTTATATAAAAATCGACATCTAGCAGGGCCATTTTTATGCTCCCCGAAAAAATATGGGGAGCATATAGTCGCCTGGCGTGTGTCCAAAACCTAGTCGGGAGCATCATCTGGTTAAACCGGTTTATTCTTTTAACTCCAGATTTATGATCATTATTTGATGCCTGAAAACTTAACACTTTACGGAGAGTGTCGGATGTGAAGTCCAGGGCGTCTCTTGTTCCACAGACAACAATTGTCTGTCGAAAAAGTCAGTACCGTAGCTTAGTAGAAATTGGACATTACTTTTCTGTTCTATTTATCCATGAAAGTCAGACAGTTCAACCAACCTTCAAGCTATCAACAAAAGAAAGTGTTGAAAATTGCTAAAACCCAGACCCGGCCCTTCATGATTTGAAGAAACATTGGTAAAAGTCTTCTAGAAATTGTTTCACATGCTCTAAACAATGGCGTTAAAGGGATGATTTTTAAAGGATTTACAGGATATAGTTAGACTATGTAAATCAATTGTCCCTTGGGAAAGGTTATTATTATAATCAAACGGATCATGACTTTACCAAAACTTAGAAGTTGTGTATTATTTCTATTATATGTTTTGTATCGTGACATAAATTGATATGGTCATTAGAATGAATGCTTCACACTTAAATATCAAAGCATTTATTTTTATGGAGAAGAAAGTTTTCAAAGCATTTTTTTATAACACAAAGTAAAATGACTACTGGGGTTAGGTCAACTTTGACCAGATTGTCAAGATTTGAAAAATAAATTAAGGTTTTTTTGACGATCTGGGCATTTTGGTGTTTGGAAAAAATATGGTAAAGATCTTGTTTATTATAGTGTCACCATTACTGAAAGGGCCAGCCATTTTGACTTATGAGACACCTTTTGCTTGCATACCATGTACCTCCAAATTCCTAATCACTATGCCAGGCGCCAGGCGGATAGAAATCGGTAAACCATTCATTTTAACTACCTCGCGGCTCACGAAGCGGCCATTTCGGAACGAGTCCCACGAGAAACATTCATCCGTCAATTAACGCTCCCCGTGGGGCTCGAACCTTCGACCTCCCGATCCGAAGGCGGACGCCTTAACCACTAGGCCAAACGGTACCGGTACCGATTTTAAAAAGTTTTCCTATGTGTCTCCATATGAAATAAGTTGACCCTAGGGGTGGGTTAAATTCATTTGAATAAATTTTGTACTGGTCTATACCAGGCTACAACAGAATTATTAGCTATAGGCATCAGTTTGGGAGAAGATTTTTTTTTAGCTTAATCAATTATGTAAATTGAAGTGACCCCTGGCATTAATGAATTTGACCACAAGATCGTGATTTAAGGAAATTTAATAGTATTAAATACTAGGTCCTGCAGTTATGGAGAAGAATATTTTGATGTTTTTCCTATATTTACACTGTGTAAAGAGAGTTTACTCCGGGGCTTCGCCCAAGAAACATGAATGTGTACTTCTTGACCTTTTACCAACCATGACCTTGATGTTGCGTCATGCAATCATTAAGCACATAGTCTCACGATGGCGATTATTTGTGCCAAGTTATTTAAAAAATCTTCCATAAAGTCAAAAAAGTTAGGGAGAACATATAACCTTGATCTTGGTTGCAGCGACCTAGCTGGATGTTGAGGTCTGTAAATTGTGTCGTGGTGGGGATCATTTGTGCTAAGTATTTTTTAAACCTTTGAATTGTCAATAAGTTTATAGAGCGGACATGAAAAAAAAAAGTTTTTACATTGGACCGTTGAGTGTGACCTGACCTTCAGGGGTTGTGACTTGCTTATTGTGCTCTGCCAATGGTGTCACAATGTTGAGCATTTTTATCTTAAAAACATTTCAGAGGTTTAAAAGTAAGAGACAGATGCGAAATGTAGACTTTTTAATATATAAACTGTAAGTGTGACCTTGACCTTTTGGGTTGAATTCAATTATTGCGATCTGCACATCGTCTCATATTGGTGATCAATTGTGCCAAGCTATTTAAACAAAATTTTCATAGGTTTAAAAGTTATGGAGGGGACACGAAATGTAGATTTTTATACATTTGACCTTGACCTTTTTGTCTAGCAACCCAATGTTTGTGTTCTGCACATGTTCATATACTGGTTATCAATTTTGTGCCAAGATATTTTTTTTTTAAAATTTCAGCGGTTAAAATGTTGGAGCGGACACGAAATGTAGATTTTTTACATTTGACCTGAAAGGGTGACCTTGACCTTTGGTGTTAGCAACCCAATTATTGCGCACTGCACGTCGTGTCATAATGGGTGATCCGTTGTACCAAGTTATTTCAAAACTTTACATCGTTAAAAAAGCTATCGAGCGGACACGAAATGTAGACTTTTTATTATTAAATGAAGACTTTTAACATTTGACCTTAAATGTGTGACCTTGACCTTGGGGGTAGCAACCCAATTATTGCGCTCTGCATATGATTCTCATTGTGGTGATCACTTGTGCCAAGTTATTTTCAAAACTTTACAGCGTTAAAAAAAGCTATCGAGCGGACACGAAATGTAGACTTTTTATTATTAAATGAAAACTTTTAACATTTTGACCTTAAAGTTGTGACCTTGACCTTGGGTGGTAGCAACCCAATTATTGCGCTCTGCATATTATCTCATTATGGTGATCACTTGTGCCAAGTTATTTCAAAACTTTACAGCGTTAAAAAAGCTATGGAGCGGACACGAAATGTAGACTTTTTATTATTAAATGAAGACTTTTAACATTTGACCTTAAAGTGTGACCTTGACCTTGGGGTAGCAACCCAATTATTGCGCTCTGCATATTATCTTATTATGGTGATCACTTGTGCCAAGTAATTTCAAAAAATTTTCAGGGGTTAAAAAGTTATGGAGCGGACACGAAAGTGTTATGGACGGACAGACTGATAGACAGAGTCCATTCCTATAATCTCCCTTTCCGCTACACGGAAGGTGATTACTGATTAACAATGTTGGTTTAGTCCCATCTGAAAAAGCCATACATATAAAAGTTCAAGATCTTTTTATTTATTTCTGGGAATATTGAAATCATTGGCGCATTGTCAGTTCTATTTTTTAACTTCTGTGACTAAGATATACAATAATCCGATTTGTGCAAAAAGAAAACAACAACAAACAAAATTTCTGTCAAATTTTTATAAAATATAGCCTATTTTTTACGTCACATCAACACTTTTAAAAGGCTTTGTGGCGACTTTCCTGCTTTACTGAGGAAGACATTGATATGTTTCCCTCCGCTGCATTATTTTCATAATATTGACACCTTCTGGTCATTTTTAAGGCAAATCAGAATTACAAAGTATATAAGAAAGTGAAATTTGGCTTATTCAAATAAAAGAAAACAGTAAAAATTGTTTTGCTAAAATAAAGAAATCAAAGTCATATGTTCATCCTGATTCCAAATTCAAATACGCCTTAATCTTAATTTGGAACACACTAGTGTTCATGTGCATTTACACGCTACCGGACAATTTTTGAGAAATGCTGTTTTTCCTCATCTCCAATTACATTGAAACTATGGTTTTCATACTGCACTTTTATAATGACTTAATTAAAACAGAAAGCTTATATGAATTTTGGATACGTCTATGCCTAATGGTTATTTCACATGATTTATTGATATTTTATTGATGATGAGAAAATAACGAAACTGTCACAGTTGATATGATTACCAATGCCTTTGAGATTTTATTTTGAATGTTACCTGTATATCAGTTATAGCTTATACGACTTTTAAGTTTCAGTTTTGTGTACACTCTTCTGTAGTCTTAATCTTAATGTATACTAGAGTTTTTTCCCTCTGTATCCGATTTTCAATAGGTAAAACAATGGAGATTCTAAACAGCGTTTTTAGGGATTCTGTTTTTCTCTATTTTAATGTGTTTAAATGGAGGGGTGTTTTTGGTTATAAGACATGATACCATTTGATAACAGGCCGGAGGTTTGTTGATGATCATTTAAGACATACTGACCGTATAACAAAGCATTAGGTGGTCTGACCTGTAGGTCACAAAAATAATTTATAAAGAATTTTGAGGCAACGGTGGGAATACGGCCTATTTGTTTTGCGTAACAAGACATCTATACAGGATTTATAATTTATGCTGCTCTTCTTTTTTAGAATAGAAGAAAGTTGTCAAATATTTAACACAAAATGGTGATTTTATCCATGTTTCTCTAAACTGTTACAATATTTCAGCTGGGCTTGTATTGCCATTGAGATGAAAACACAATCATTTAGGTTTTACCAGAATGCATCTATGGCACATTATCTTGAAGACGTTCTTCATCAAAACATATTGACGTATTGTCTATTCCTTCTTATCAAATTTGATTTGTGGGATTTTTTTTGCTTTATTTGTTATTTATTATTATTATTTAATGACCAATAAATGAAGAATGTTTTGAAAAGTTTTTTCTCAAATCGGGCCAAACATCAAGCATAAATTTTATTTTTCAATGTAACTCTGAGTAGATTTCATTATTATCTTTTGCCTCTAAAACCTTAAGCGTTTTTATTGTTACAGTAACGGATCAATAAATGTTACCGATGTTTTATTTCAAATTTGTGTTTTTTCATAGAAAGTAAATGTAGTGAATTTTTTTTTATGTTTCAAATGTATCCAATTCTGTAATGCATAATCATGACACTAACTTCTACAACATGCTTGAAAATGATAAAACTGAAAGCCTCAATAAGTTTCCGGGTTTCTCTCATTTTACCACTTTGTTGCCATGGCAACAGAACCAATTAATATTATTGATAGAATGAAAATCTACCTTTTAAAAAATTAAAGACTTAAGAACATTTTTAAAATGTAATCTTGTTGGTTATTTTTAGTCTTAATAATCATAATATATAAGTTCACTAGAAATTGGGACTCAATTTTCGTGTACCCCACCCACTTTAGGAATGTCAGAATCCACATTCTTACACAATAAAAATAAAAAATAAGGGTACATTTAGTAAGTTGTTGATCAGGTCTTTGTATAATATGGTAAAAATATTAGTTTTCACCACTATGCTTCGACTGATAGGAAAAAAATGCCAAGCCCCATGTCGATTTTTGATACTTTTTCATGCTTTTTAGCAAAGTTTCTCTATGAAAACAAGAGTATATATATATAAGAAAAAGGAAACGGACCCCTTTTTCATATTGTTCCAATAGGATGTGAAGTTTTAACATCACCTGTACCAAAATAAATACAAAAAAGAACTAATTATATATCATATAAATTGAGTATTAGCCATTTTTAAATAATTTGGGCGGCCATCTTGGCGGCCATCTTGGATTTCTTTAAAACGTACCATGATTTGACATGTCTACCCAAATTTTTTTGTAAACTTCAAATATTTAGCTTTAAATTGGTTATAACATTTATCCATGGACCTTTTTTGCACACAAAAGGTCCCCAGAGATTGATATAAATGAACCTAGTGGCATATTTGCATATCCTGTTAACGAACAAGACACGCCTTGTGCTGTTTGTAAAATCATTGAGGTCGACTGTTCTAATGGTTCCTGCAAGAACAACTTGCTTTCCCGCCTGGCATATGGAATACACTGGATATTTTATGGCAGGAATGGATGATATAGGCTAGGTTCATATAATCATATTTGCATGGATAGTCTGCCAGAATTTTTACCAAACGGTGCAGCCAGTAATAATCAACACATTCTTTTACCTTGTGAAGGCACAATGTGGATCATTACCATGTCCTCCATATGTTTCAAGATAGAGAACTAGCATGCGTCGTCTGCTCAAAATAGAAAATTGTGCAAGTTAGAAAGGATTGGGTTTTATGTGTCAAAATAATAAAGAAAGGTCGGATATAAAATATATCTTGCATGTAGTCTAATTACTACTTTTGTAAATTTCTACTTTACTCTGGGAATTTTGATATTCAATATAAAATATATTTTGATGATTTTTAGTTCAGTTATTACATATGAAATACTCACTCATATTTAAACTTTCCCATTAAGCTAGCCTAGTGATCAGTCGTACATACCTTAAAACACAAGAGTTATCGGTGATCACGTGTGTCGCTTGAAGATAGCCAATTGCATGTTGCAGCTGATGTGTAGCAAGAGATTCATGTACTTGAGGCTCCGATCAATCATGTAAAGTCCTATTGAAATTGCACTAGAAGTATTAAAGAAGCAGCAGTCTACTTCTTCCGCTAGTGAGTTACTTGTTGAAGAATTTTTTGTTTTGATCACAGGGACAATAAGTAAGTTTCCATGTATCGTCCTGTTTTTAGAAATGAAATAATTAGAAAATCATATAAAGACCTGGCCCAATGTTATTTCAAGGTGTTTATTGAATGTTTTGGGTACAACTATGAAAGAAATCACATAAAAAGTGAACTCATTTAGAAATTGCCAAAATAGCCTGAAGTTAACTGTTATCGTACACAATTACATGTATCATTGATATATGAATATTAAAGGCTATAGAAAAGTTATTGTGCTCGAGACTGCCATTATATATAAAACTAACTAGAGATTACTAGGGTACAACTATGAAAGTTATCACATAAAAAGTGAACTCTTTTAGAAGTTGCCGAAATAGCCTAAATTAAATTGTGGTTCTCATTGATATATGAATATTAAAGGCTATAAAAAATTAGGGTGATAGAGACTGCCTTTATACATGTATATAAAAATGATTTATAGAATGTAAAAAATTTAGCTATATGTGGCCAGTGTTCACTATGATGATAGTGATTTATTTTTATGAATGTCCAGCAGAATATGTACTATCTCTATGTCATTTTGATTCTATAATATGATATTGTATTAGTAAGTTTCTCATAGATTACTTGGTAAACATGTAAGTAACTATTTTGTTTTGAGATCAACAAAAAGATTATAAAAATATATTACACGGTGTCAAGGGTTTACGCATCAAACAAACACTTAAGCACAACATGCATGATGGAAAACAACCTGAAAGTCACACCTTTGAAATAATCATATTAATAAAAATGTGTCTACGAAATATTGTGATCATTGAGGGTTATAGTTTTACCTAGTTTTTATCAAAGATTTGTACGATTTCTTTGTTTTTATGAAAACAGCGAGAGCTGGCTTAGGGAAAATGATCATTATGAATATATGTATACACAGACTATTGTACACACATTTAAGCTGTTTAATTCCTTAACAAAATCATAAAAGCATGATAACTGACCGAGTTATTCGCACAGTATTATAGGTCCGCACCGAAAATTGTAGCACCGTATGCATTTGTGCTAGACTTGCACCGCATCATGATGACTTACCTAATGCTGAACAATCTTATTTGTATTTATTTATTGTTGCCCGTCTGGACGGCGAAGACTGTAGATGTATAGTAATCATCTACAAACCGGATGAAAATGCATAAATACTAAAGATGCTTAAGTTCTTTAAGCAAACCTGGTTCTTTTGTGTGTTCGGGACCACGGTCAAATTCGAAAGAATTTGAGTATTTACATTATACTTAAGATCAATTCTATTACAACAACCATAGCGCAAATTTCTAACTCTCTTGTAATGTAAAGAAGCAAGTTAATATTGAAAATGTTATGTATATTTCACAAATATGCATATATAAATGTTACAATTTCATACATACTCTTTGAGATAGTACGGAGAGTTTCTGAAAAAAAAAAACTTTCAAGCTACCTACTCAATTCGTACAATTTATTATTTGTCAATTATCATGTAAATGAAATGTTTATAAAATAAAAAATATTGAATAAAACTGGAGATTTGGAGTAAATACATTGGAAGAGTTAGGAATTTTCGAACCTGTGACTTCTAGACAGAAGCGTCGGACTTGCAATTCTGGCATCGATTATCAAGACGTGAGCTCGAACCCCGCCAGCGGTCTTCCCATGTTTCCTTGAGCAAGAAACTAACATTGTCGTGTGTAAAGTTATCTATAAGTTTTATTATAGTCTATCAATAACTGGAACTACAAGTATCAACAATGTGTAAACAAATACGAGCATGCCGGCATTAGAATCAATACAGGGAGGATAACTCAAGCACATAGTTGCTGCCTTTCTTAAATTCAGTAACATGCGTAAATTTTGCGTGCCAAGTCAATTAGTTAAGTGACAAAAAATCAAATGTACAAAAGAGACACTGTTTTAGAAATATTGAGCTTTGCGCTTGCTTGTGCGTTGTATTTAGCAAATTTTGAGAGATACAGGTTTCAATTTTACTGATATCAGCAAATACTATGCACTTTCCCGAATCCAAAAAAAAGTTTAACTTCACAGTAGACATAATAACTGCTACGAAAGCATATAATTTTTTAAAGGAAAATTATCTTTCAAAAACTATGAAGGTGCAGATTGCGCTTCCAGGCCCAGGTAATCCACTGCCATGCTTCCCCAAACCCGGTAACCAAAATTTTTTTTCCCTTGCCCAAAATCCTAAAAAAAAAAATTTAAAAATTTACAAAAAAACTGGGTTAAACCCCTTTTAAAGTAAATGTTCCCAGATTATCGCGAAAAAAGAAGCTGTTCCATGGTTCTGCATAAATGGGGGGGGTACCAATTTTAACAAATTTTTTCCTTTTTAATTTTAAAATTTAAATTTTGCTTTTATGTTTTTAAAAATTGGGTTTATGTGATAGTTTCGTGGAAATTTGCTTTTTGGATAAATTTGATATTAAATATTTCCTTCCGACACTCAAACCTTTTGGGAAAAAAGGAGGAAAATTTAAATCACATCAAAAACCCACAAAGTTTTTAATAGGAAATAAAAGGGTTTTTCATTGGGTTTCAGGTTATAATAGACACAGTTTTGAACACATAGATGAAAAATTCAAAAATTCTGTGAGGTAAGCAAACTCTCTAAAAAAAAATATTTTAGTAAAAAATTTTCGTATTTCAGAACTTACCTCTTGCACTTTTCAGAAGATTGCGTAAGAATGATATGGTACTGATACGGTACTGCGCGCAAGTTGATAAATTATCGGCGGCACGCGGAAAAATCATGCGTAAACCCTTGACACTGTGTATAAGCAATATGCATTTTATTTATTTGGTAGATTGAAGTTATTGACAAGCTTAATTTGTTTAGAAAAGTAAGCATGACCTTGTTTGGGCTAATTTTAAACTTAAATGTAGAGTAAATCTTGTGCTAGTAGTGTCAAATAATATATTTTGTGGTGATATCGCCAAGTGATTTCTTAATTGTTTTTAAAGTTAAACTGTCGGATGAGTCTTTTGCATTATTAAGCATAAATGAATTTTCAAGAGGTGTTCATTGAGACACCAACCCTTGTCGTTTTTCGCTCTTTATTTTCAACACAAAATGATCACCATGAATGTACAGTGTTTAATATTATGTGGTCTTCAAATCTAATTTTAATAACAATGAATGTATTTTAAGAGATGAATCTATTTTGTTTACAATTTAAATACTTTGTCATATGTTTAACATATTGAAAGAAAAAGTCATCAGATGTTTATGTCGTATCAAACAAAGATTACTCTTCACTTAAATAGATGTTTCACAAGAGACATAAATTTTATTATATTTAACTTTTCTGGTCCTTGATTAGCTGTCGCGGTTACTAGAGTTTTGTGTCTTAGATACTTTAATCGATTATACCATCTTATTTCAAAAGTCTTTCGAAATGCTTGAATTGAATTTACTGCTGGATAAAAATTTTATTATACTTTTTTGATAATTTTTTGTGTTCGTGATTGTTTACATTCGTAATGAATGATTTTCTCTTGTGTAACAAATTTGCAGATACCAAATTTAAGTTCTTCAATACCCCACCTGTGTCTTCATATCGACATGAACCTAAAGCAGAACATTACATCTCAAAATATATTACCAAAATTACTGTTTTCATCTCGATAAATATGCTTCAAATTGACTCGGTAAGCTACAGGAGGCATACTTTAAATGATAAACAACACAAATACGACTCGACTATAGATTTAGAGTAATAATTGGTTTATAATTAAAAAAAAACATTTTAACAAGAAGGCCTTTTTCAAGGTTATTTGGGATTGTTTACGTGCATGCGTGCGTGCGTGAATGTGCGTGTGTTATAAACAAACATTTGCAAAACGTTAATGTTTCTTGTGGTGTTACCTTTAATGTGTCACTTGTTTTATAAGACATGTTTCAGTGGTTATAATCACAACGTGATTGTTTAATAATGCAATCAGTGAAATATTCATTATAATTATATTTAATGGACAGCAACATCAGCCGAGTTTCGTAATTGCATTTTGCTATCATATTTCTAAGTTACTAAAGACATTATTCCCTAGACATCAACAACCGATACCACGACTGGCAAAATGTTATGAATATATAATTATGACCATACAAGTCTGGAAGCGACGAGAGTGTATGTGAATATTTTATATCAAACTTTTGCCATGCAATTAAATATTATTTGTTGCTTTCAAATCAAAACGTTTTTAGCAGCCTTTTTAATTTGTACAGTTAATCACTTTCAATTTGTGATGCATGTGAAATATTTATGAATAAAACAAATATTTAAAGCTTACATTTTATCAAACTGTTTGGAAGGGAGGGGAGTGAATATAAAAACCTGTCTCCGTTCCGTTTACATCGAATAAAATAGAACAGTGGAAAGCAAAACGGGTTAAGAAATTCAAGACGTCACGGGACTTTCACAAATATTTTCATAGCATCATTTTACAATGCCTGGTTACTATTATTGCAAATGCAGGTGAGTATGACGTCAAAAGGTCGGACATTTTTATTAGTAAATAGTCTCCTTAATGCAGTGACGGGTTTACTCCTTACATATTTTAATAATAGTTAAACCGTTACTGTACTAAGGTGACGAAATATTGAACATATTTCACATCGGGGAGAAAATTGTTAAATATTGTCACCCTGGCCTTGCAGTTTTTGAAAATATTCAATGATTCTAAATTCTATATAAGATATGTTCAACGTGCACTCATAACTTACAAATATCTACACAAAACTTACAAAAGTTGGACTTTGTCGTCTCTTCGTGTTTCGCTTTTTCGCATTTTCGAGGCAACAAAGCGAAAATACGACATGGCGTAAATCAGCCACCTTACTTAACTTCTAACTCCGGCCTAATGTCAATATAATGCTCCAGTACATTAACCTAATGCATGAGTTTTATCTACGCAACCAGGGGGACATAACACTGGCGTAAATATAATGTTTCATCACCCCTGTTTCTCATAATTTTTCATTGACAATTAATGAGAATTTTCAATCATATTCAAACAACATATTTGCTACAGACCAGTTAATCAAAGAACTTCCATAATTGTATTGATAATTATTATGATTGGCAATAAATATCAACAAACAAGTGTTTGCCATTTGAAATTATTAATAATTCAAACATGTATTAATGTTTTTAAAGAGGAGTGTTGAAAAGAAATTCAAAATCAATTTTAGGTACAATTTTCAATTCAATTCAATTCAATGTTTATTTGGCTTTAACATATATACAATGTTTATCGCCAGTACATATAGTATTCTGGCGGCACAAGACAAAACAATACATATTTTGAACATGAGAAAAGCATGATAATAACAATTACATACTTTAAACATAAAAACATATAAATTGTTTGTGACATTATAACAAAGGTTACACAATACATAAATTATTTATAATCATCCTTTTAAAGAAAATGATTGGTATATATATTTAGCTAGCTTAATAATAGTACTGCTTTGAGAACTGTTAAGAAGATTTTTAAACTTGAACGACAATAATACTTTTGCAAACCTTTTATTCGTAATTCTTTATAAAACGGACAAACTAAGAGGAAGTGATATTCATTTTCAATGACATTCATATTACATTTGGTACAAATTCTAAGTTTTCTTTCTATATTTCTATGTCTTCCTTCTTCTTTAAGTAAATTATGTGCAGAGAATCTAAATCTTGTCAAACTTATTCTATGATTTTCATTCTTAACACAAGAAATATATTTTTCTTGTTCAAAATCTGTTCAGTAAACAATACGTTTTAAGTTTATGTTGAGTTCTAAATCAGAAAACCATTGTTGTAAATATTGGTCATATATGCATTTTATTACATTTTAAATTTGCACATTGGACAAAGAAACATTATTCCATTGCCATGTAAATCCAGTATCATCTAATATTTTTTTAACATTTTTCGACCACACACATATATGACTGCCATTTCTATAACGCATATTAAATAATTTGTACATAATTGAATCTGGATTATTCGTAATATTTATAGCAGTATCGGATAATTCTTATCTTACGTACATGTATAATAATCATAGGGAATCTACCTAATTCTCCGTATGTTGTAGCATTGGGTGTTTATTGTCGTCTTACTTGCAAGATTTGTTTCATGAATTTCATATGCAGCCGGTCTATATCCGTGGCCTCATGAAACTCCCATATTTCACACCCATAGTTCATAATAGAAGCAATCATGGAATCAAACAACTTAATTTTTTCCGATCAGCGATACAATATCAAATAATGAAGCAAGAGAAAACTGGGCTTTCATTGCCTGTTGTGATAAAGATTGTTGAGCCGGTTAAAAAATAAGAAATACAGGCGATGTGTGTTGGTAGTGTTTAGGTGTTGAGTACATAGGAGTCATTTGAGTCATTGGTGTTATAGGCGGTAACGCAGAAAATTGACTATTTTGAGATAAAATATTATTATCGTTATAACTTGACGCCATTTTCTTTTTTGGTCTTTTGCTCCCACTCGGCGGCGATGTATTGTCCTCTTTGCGCTTATTGGTCATCAGATTTAGTAAACTGAACTATCAAGTTAATAATAATGTAACCGTAGTAAGTAATTCATTCAATCTTTATCTATTTATTATTGAAAAATGAACTTTATCAACTATTTCCTTGGAAAAATTCACAAGATTCAAAATTTTATGTCCGCCATTTTACTAGCATGCGCAATGTAATATGTTACTAACATTTGTATAATAAAACATCAAAATGTAATTGTTATATTTGAAACTTTTCAATAAAAGTCTTTGTTTGCAGTTCCAGCGTCCAATCTTCGAATAATTTATACACGCAAAATTAATTTCATCTCATCAACATAATAAAAGTATCGTCTTTATTCTTATTCAAAATAAATAAAAGAAATCAAGAGAAGAATGTTTTAAAATGAAAACCATACTATATAAGGGACACTACTTAATTATGCTTATTAGAAATAGAAAGGTGAAAGAAGGCTGAGCTTTTTAAAGTTTTACGTTAAAGTATACAGCCATTTGCTTAAAATTAACAGAAAAATATAACAACAATGAAGTTAAGTGCAGGGTAACTTTTTACAGCTGCCACACGGTACTTGACACCTTCTGTTGTGATGTATAAAGTCATCGATAATAAATATCAAAATAATGCTCCAAATAAGAGAAATTTGTCACAACTTATCGTCTTCTTATCATCTGTTGTTATAATTAAATGAAGTCAAAACCTGCGTTAGAGAATATACAGATGATAAATGATACATACGATGATTACCAAATTGCAAAATGACATGTCAGCGCTTCAAGAAAAGGGATAGGTTGTTAGATTGTCAAGAGAGAGCCAAAAGACTAGCTTGAAAGCGGGAAAGAACGTTTCAATTTTTTCTGACGCTTTTCAGAAAAATCGACGTCCCACTATCCGAGCATTATACAAGGATCCAGATCAGAGCTATTGATTAATATTTAACAAAGGCTATATCCTAGTGTATGTCAACATCCTTTCAGCGGGACCATAATGGATGCAGTTGAGAAAAGAAGACGTACGTCATAGACGTTATTAACACGCAGCAGTTACCGTTACTTTGATTTATGCAAATGCCTAAATTTCTAAAGCCGCAATGATATTTTCAGGAAATTTTGCAAATATATTTCGGTACAATTATATTCGATTCGATAGTTTTTATACAATAATGATTATTTTGCACACCCTTTACTTTACTCCTAGATCAAAACTCTAATGATGTATCTACCTTAGATATTGCATAAATAAGTTATAGAAGTAATATGAATAATGTAAGTAAAACATTATCGGTATCGACGGGTTTGGTACAAGAAGCGTTCGCTTTACGTAGATAGCAATATTTTACTCGTTTTAAGTATAATAATTGTTTCGTGAAAATGAAATAACTAAACATTTGCGGGAATTTTACATATATTGTTTTCTGCAAATAAAATATTTCATCACTAGCAAACATTTCATTTAAAGGCATGGCTATGATTGTTTTTGTTTTGTTAACATTTTTTTCAAGTTTAATGCAAGTTATAAAAGGAAATAACGAATCTTTCATGTACGAAATATATTCAAAAAATGAGATCAATGGCAACGAAATATTTACGTTTTATCAAATCTCTGTCAGTGAATGTGTTTTTAAATGTGATAAAACGTATGGTTGTTTATCTGCGAACTTTCACAAAGGAAACAAGACGTGTGTTCTCACCGACTACTATCCGAACGATGACACAAAGACGGGTATTTCAAAGGCCGACTGGATGATCTATTTTCGAAGGACGTACGGTAAGACTGAAGCTAAACATAGATGATTAAGATATGAAATGTTCCTTTTCAGGTATCTTATAAATGATTAGAAACAATTTTATCACTATGTATTCAATATATGTCGATTTGGTAAAATCAGTAAAACGGTAAAAATAATTACCAATTTAGCATAATGTATACTATATGGAATAATATTAATCGGAACTTCCACTCATTGTCGTCATTATATTACATTGAACTCAGACCATTGCGAACGTAGAAACAGACAATTAGAGCATTTCCTTAAAACATTTGTGAATTAAAGTGCTAGGGATGAAATCATTTGTTTGGATTTAAAAACATAATGCTTTCAAAATGTTTGTATGAAAAATATATAAATTACCTTAAAAGCGAATTTTGCATGTAAGAAGTCATTGCTAAACGGATGAAACCCTACTTAAAGTAACAGAATAATATTCTGTTCTGGAACATTTTATTCACTATACATTCAATATTCATGTTTAAATAAAGGCCTTATATGTTTCAGCTTTTTTTTCGAGAATCGACAATATGATTATTGAACCAATTGTATTTTATTGTTGATAAATCTTATAAAAATGTTACATTGTTGCTGTGGCTGATAGTTGGCTTTAATGGTTGAGGCATAAAAATTGAAGTCATCTTTTAATCTTTAAATGTTAGAGTTCTTTATTCCCGCCTTATTATAAGATAGACACGTATAAGGTTCTGTATTTGTCCTGGGGACAGGTAAACATTGAATGTTTTGAAGGTATTGCCTTTTAAGAAAAACGCTTGAATAACATCAATTTGATTTATTTTCATCAAAAAAATATATTACTCTGGATTGAAAACAATGAAATAAAATATTTGAGAGAAATTGTTTTTAGACTATTAAATTTTACTTTTTAAAAGTGCAGTAATTATATAATGTATATAGTTAATGGACGGTACTGATGTATACAATGATTTATCTCAAACCTATTTCCTATAAAAGAAATGTCTGTCTAACATTATACTCGTGTATTTAAATCTATGCTTTTGCCTTTTTGCAGCTGTAGACTTTTTGAAAAACGCAGAAGCATGGCAGTCGACAACACGTGTCTGGCGAGGAGTCCCTTTAACAGCTGACAAAGCCATTGATGGAGATACAAACGGTAATGCACATGAAAACTTCTGCGCTCACGTAGATATCAGCGATTCATACTGGGCAGTAGCCTTCGGTACACCTGGACCGGTCAAGACAGTCAAAATTTACCTAAGGAACGAAACTACCGGTAAGATCGTTATTTAAGTGGATAAGTTTACAACTGGATATAAGTAAAACACACCCCGGAAATTTAAAATTAGTTGTGATTGAAAGTACTGTCATGAAATGACCATTTTATTAATCATAAACCAGTAAATTTATTTTTTACCAAAATGTAAGTGTTTATAAGTATGATGTTGAAACGTTTACAAAACATTTACCGGTGGAAATTTTTGGTTAATGTTGAGGATTACGTAACCTAAAATGACATTATGTAGACAAATTTTTAATAACGTGTGTAACCGCCAGGTGCTCGGATGATAGCCTCGGCCCTTTTCTCTTACTACTAGTAAGGCGTCTCACGCGATTTTGAGGTATATTTTGTCATTTTTGGTGCAGAGATTATTCCAGTAATTGCAGGTTGACGATAGGTGTTTCGTACCATTGCCCAAATGAAAAGAAATCATTTGTTGTCATGTCAAAATTGAGGCAAAATGCCGGGTTTGAGAATAAGGGTTTATGCTATTATCCGGGCACGTGGCGGTTATACACATTATTAAATATTTGGCTACATAATGTCATTTCAGGTTACGTCATCGTTAACATTTACCAAAAGTGTCCACCAGTAAATGTTTCGTACACGTCAAACACCAAACTTATATACACTTACATTTTTGGTAAAAAAAAACACATTTGCTTATGCTTTAATAATTTGGTTAAGAATTAATTAAAGTCATACATTTACTGATTGATGATTACTAAATTGGTTGCACTACTTATCATATTACTTACTGTTTTTCTAATCCCAATTAAATCGTCATCTCATGACAGTGCTTTCAATCACAACCAATTTTAAAATTCGGGATGTGCTTAACGTATTACCAGTTGTATATATGTAAGACAAAAACTATTTGTTTAATGGAAATTATGTATATATATTCGCATAATACTGATTTAAAGAGCCATTTCTTTTAATATACACCATTCATTAATTTTTATTTTTAATAAGATATAAGGGTTTTTAATGTTTTATTTTATTTTATTATATATGCAAATATGATTTGAAGAAAGAATTACATATTTAAAAAGATGTCAGTGTTTTATTTTTTCATTTTGTCAAAAAGTTTAAAGTAGTTTATTTTGAATTATAAGATAAAAACGTACGATAGATTACAAAAAATACGTATTATGAATGATTTACAATATAACTTGATATAATTGCTTCCTTTTTCAAATACAAATGTCTTGACCTTTCTCGTGTCACACATCATATAAGACGAAATATCGCTAAAGTTTTGGGATCTATGTTCCTTTAATAACATCAACTGGTCGAATATGCCTTTTTATGTAATATTTATCATGCAACATCCTCTGTTCGTATATTTAAAATGGTAAATTTGTCTGAAGTTATCGTTTTAAGCTCTATAAATTATATATCTTACAAAAATGATATGGTTTCTGTGATAACTAATTTACATCATGTACGTCTTCTCTAGCTTATTTTATGCTTATTAACAACTAACGGAGTTTGTCTTTTTAATATAATCTTTATCTTGTAACACTATCTGAAGCACAATTATTTAAACTTTCCTTTATCTTTGGAATACAAAAAGCCTCATTCAAATAATTAATATATAATTTTTAAAAAAGCTTTCTATTGTGCGAGAATTTTCTGTCCTCATTATCAAATATAAATTGTAAAATATGTTATATTATATTTTATAATTATAGAGGTTTGCGAATAAAAAAAAAACATCAATATATATAATTATTACATATAAATGAACAGAAAAATGTCACATAAATTTGAATCCAGCAATATTAACAGCAGATTGAGTAAATGACATATATTCAAGATCAAATAACAATGTAAATATTGGTCAAATATATATAGTGTGTTGAATAAATCTTAAATTCTGTTTTTACAAACATGCAGGGGCTGTAGATATTACTAAATAAATATTCCAGATCAAGTCAGTTTGTAAAAAGTAGTTAGGTATATAATATGTATTAAATAAATTGTCAAAAATTCTGTTTTAACTAACATATAGGGGTGGTCGCTATACGTTTCCGTACAAAATATTGTGCTTTTCTATGTATGTAATTGTAAATGCAATTCAACTTTACAACACTATTATAAAATTCATGTTTGCCCTTTGTAAGGACGTAAAATGTATTCGTTTAACGTACGGTGCAAATATGATTTAAATTCCTTGATCTTGTCAAAAAATTTCATTTTGATAATTGTTTGCTTAAACTGGCTAGAAATGGGTTATTTTTTAATGAATTATTTTCATATTTAGACAAAACATCATTTAGAACAAAACCTTAATGACGATTAATCTGACTTTCACCTTGACTTTTAAATGACCTTGAACTTTAAGGTGTTATTCAATTTTTACTGCTTTTACAATGATTGATGGTGAATATTTTAGCAAGGTAATAAAATGCAATCAGTGATGGTTCTAAGATATAACAAAATAAAATATAGGTCGAGTTCAAATTTGGCTTCAGACACTATTTTCTTAAGTAGTTAAGGTGCCGGGTGCGGGGTATGAATCACTTTCAGTGACAGTTCTAGTTTATTTCAGGTTACAACCACGCTACATACACAGTGACCGTGTGCAACAATCGTGATGATGTAGATAATGGTAAAGGAACACTATGTGGCTCTTATTATGGACCGGATTCATACACACAACCTTTCATCTTAACAATAACTTGTGAAAACACAATATTTGGTAGATTCTTGAGAATCGATAAAAATTGGGAGAATCTGTGTTTATGTGAAGTATTTGTTTATCCTCCCAAATAAAGCTTGGTTTTTAATTGGAAATTTCAGTTTCAAATAACATAATTATTCAAAATGTTAAAGCTATACTGCGTTCATCTAAAAAAAAATGCGAAATTTATTGAAATCTATAAGATTCTTAATGAATATGTCTTATTTAGATAAGAAGACGTACAAACTTTGTAATAGAGGAATCTCCGTTCTTTATTATGGGTCAAGTTAAGCAAGTAAAACTGCTAGTTTTTTTAATGACACTATAAATATTTATAGTGTGTCTACTTACATGTAATAGTGTGTAGGATTTAAAGCATAACTTATGTACTTTTTGTAAAGTCAAAACATGTTAATTTTATATATTCAAAAAGATTTTTAGCAATTATCAATATTTTCAAATATTAAATTTTGAGCATAGTATATCTTTTTGAATTTTGAAAGCGGATCATAGGTTATCAAGCTCAGCCAACTTGCTTGTTACATATAAGTTTTAAATTGCTACTAGATTTCGAATCGTTATAAGCTTTTTAGTGATTCAGTGATCAATGCGAAAAGCTTATTTGTTTATGTTTAGTCATTACATGTGTATATGTTATAGTTCTTTTTAAACGGTATTACCTGATTATCAACTAAATAATGGCGTGCTTCTGGGTCATTTTGGCTATAAGTGAAGTTGAGTGATTTGATATTTTGTAGGAAATATATCATACAGCTTTGATTACCGTTTTGCTGTTTCAATAACAAATGTTTTACATTCAACACAGCTTCTAGATTCCCTCTAACACGCTTTTTTTTATCTTTATTAAACATTATAAAATACAAGTGTTCTTTTATTTGAAACTTGTTACAGTTTATTGTCTTACTGAAAATGAAAAGATGGCCTGCCCGGCACCTTTCGAGTGGTCCTGTGTTGCTTTTTGTTTGGGGAGCGGATTGGGTGCGTTCATTGAATGGCGCCCTTCTCTATTGAACTTCGATTTCATAATGTACTGACTGAAAAAAGCGGTTGTTTTTTTAATGTTTCAAACATCGTTAGATTCTTTGTTATTGTTATTTGTAAGTATAACTGCTTAATTTTCTTAAAATTTCTTGTTGCTTACTGATATATATATACATATATATATTGATGAAAAAATATTTAGAAGCGTTACATAAAAACACGTTGTTTAAATAGTGAAGTCTAGCACATAGCACTCCCCTACTTAAATCAAGATCAAGGCGGGAGCTCGCCTGGCACAAACCAACGTTTTTAAAATCGTGTGACTATTCCCAGTCTATTGAACTGTATTGCCTTAGTTTTGTCATTTGTTGTTTGAATTTTTATTGTTTCGCCGTTGAAATTTAATGTATTTTTAACAAGCCGTTTCTAATAGGAATCGATTTGTTAGAAAAAGAATGTGTATGCTAAAGTCTACCATTTAATCAAAAGACTTTTCAAAGTCTTATGAATTTCTATGACAAGCAGTCTGAAAGTCATTATGGGAATGTCATTATGTTCAAAAAGCTAAGGAATAAACACACAAGATTTGTTATTTTGCATAACAGATTGAAGTGAGATGAAATAAATTTCTTTCTCTACTATGTATCTAATGAAATCATTTTTTTATTTGTAAAAGAAAACAGACATTTTCTCGAAATTTTGTATTATATCTTATACACAGAGCTACTATTGAAGAAGAAATTACAATTATGCAAACGAGGTCGAGTACCGATAAGAAATGGTCCAATAAAAATATTCATATGATATGTATTATTAACTACAAACATAAACCCATATAAATTCATAACGATTTAATAAAAGAGATGTCCAGTATTATATATGCGCATGCGTCCCATAAATATGTGCAAGATGTTTAACTTTAAATCCTTTTGCGCTAAAACTATTTAGCTGTTTTTTGTGGGTTTTTTTTTTCACCTTTCGTCAAAAAAGATTATACATGGAAGATTCAAAAATTTATGACAACGTGGTAAAATATTACAAGTAAGAATGCCATTAACACAAACTACAATGTAATATGATGGTATTGAATTAATACGGAGCACCATGATGTAGTTCTCGGAGCCTTTGAATTTTGGTATCTGGCGAGAACGAAGGTCGAGCGAGATATCAATTTTCACAGAGAGTAACAAAATATATATGGACTGGATCTACGGTTATAGGGAAAACAGCAAATTGTCGTTCCAAAAAAACTACCAAGCCAAGCAAAAAATCTCTCGCTCATATTGCTTGGGTTAAGCTTTGGTTCTCACATTAACCACTTTTAAAAAAACCCTTGTACAAAAACGAATTTGAAATGGAATCAGACAAACAATGTTTTTAACAGTTGTCTATGCAATATGTGTTATTTTTTACGCAAAAAATTTTGCTTTGTTATGCTTCAGACAGAACAAATTGTATTTGCACTATTTGTGTGCGTATTTTAAGGTGAAAATATATAGGTATACAATAAAATGATGTATTGATCTGAAATGTATGTATGCATGTGATATTTATGTTTTTATGAAAGAATATTTAATAAAAGAAGTCTTAAGCGATATTTTTGTTAGCAAAAATGTGACAGAATATAAACAAAAATGAATACAAAGTCATATAGAGTACCAGGTAATCTGGTTCTATTTAATTGATAGGTCACATGATCTGATGAATATTCAATATGCTGTGCTACTACATAATCATACAAATCTTATTAGTAAAATGCACAAAATGAATTGAAACCTTTTTCTGTGAAATGTGTTACTTTAAATTGTAAATGGCTTTTAGAATGTCCAATAAATTTGTGTTTCATCTATTTTGTTTTTTATGCCATGAATTAGCCCTTTTTAGTTTAAAATTTAATCGCAGTGAAAGTCATGTTTATTTGAATTACTTTGAATGGTTTATATTTTTACAGTATAACCAGATTATTATTTTTCTCATATTTTATACGAGTTTAAGAAATACCTTTATTTTGTAACTGTATACCTAAATTTTCCACCATTGTGGGGCGCCGTTATATGTCGCAACGCCGCTAAATGTCGCACATGCCGTTAAATGTCGCACCATTGCCGCTCAATGTCAAAACATCGTCTGCCATTAAATGTCGCAATGGTAACGTTAAATGTCGCACATTTTTTTTACCGTTAAATGTAGCAACGCTACCGTTGAATGTCGCAAAAAGAAAATTCATCTTGCAAGTTGCTGGCGCTATCGTGTTAATATCACCATTATGTGTGTAATCTGGGGTCAAACTATCTATCACATAAATAATGACTTGCTATTAAGTGATTAATATGAAGTGATCTTAGTCGGTATTATAAATTGACGACAACAATCTGTCCAACCCTTGGTGAATTAACACATTTGTACACGTTTTTGTATCCCGCATTTTCGAAGAAAAAGAGGGATACATAAAAAGACTCCGTATGTTCGCCCTTTAACTCAGCTATTTATCAAGGGATTTTTTTGATATAACATAATTATGTTCATCAAATTAGGACGATCTGTCATGCCAAATAACCAGACCTTCACAGTGGTCCCACTTTGAGATCAGAGGTCAACATTGTCTGATAGAGGGTACAATTCGTGTCGGGTAACTTTTTAGTCCATCAAGTTATTTCAAATTTCTTGGCACAAATGCTCACTACATAAGACAACAAGCTTGCGAGACAATGGTCACAGTCCACATTGTTTGATTGGGTGTATATTTCCTGCTCAATCCATAACGTTTTAATCTACGATGGGATTTTGAAATAATATTACACACATGTTTATCATAATAGGATCGCATACACAGCACCCATAATCCTACCTCACACTTTAAGGTCAAAGTTTAAAGTGATATGTTATAATGTATTTTGTGTCAGATCCACAACTTTTTCACTCATCAATTTTTTTTAATTATATAAATACTCACCATAAAACAATAAGTCATGCGACTCACTCTGGCCTCTACCAAGGCATGGTGTTATTTTCCTTGTCCGTAGAAAATCTTCGAAAATATTAGCTATTCAAGTGAAACTTAAAATATCAATAGATAACAGCAAAGGGGAATACACTGTAACTCAATCTTGAATATATTTAATAGTTTCCCTGTATGCACTTATTGTCTTTGAAACAAACTCCTCTAATGTATTGTAGTTGACACATACACTGGAGATATTTCATTATAATTCTATGATGAATTTGTTGTTTCCTGTGCATTTATCAAGATTTTGCACTGGATCTCAAACTGTCAAAATAATACTATTGTGTGTTTCATGTAAAACTTACTTTGGGCTGGGGACGTTGGTAACTTGGAATTATAAGTATATTACCACAGGCTTTATCATATTGACAGTTTTATAAATTCGATTGATGCAAAAATCTGACAAGTTCTTTGGCTTCTTTTGACAAGTTTATGCTTTTGAACTTCTTCACATAAATCATATAGATATGCAAGGGACGACTCGAATGCAGACATTTTCCTTATTGGTCCTACCTTGCGAGCTAAATGCTTATATAAAGATAATACTTACGTGCCAAACATAGTATAGTTTTAATCTAGCTACTTAGGTTTACCTCTGTTTTTCAATTGGCAACAAGCAATGTAATAGGAAATTTTTGTTTAGAAACCAACCATATGTCGGGCGACAAAATTCAATCGCATATTCGGCGGTTTTAGCAATTACGAATTCTAGGAGCAATTCAATGTGACAGTACGGTGTCCCGTAAGGGTCATCGTGAAACAATAACGAATGTGAATATTCGAAACAAGGAAATAACGATAGTACAAAGTCGATGGTAGGATTACGAAAGTCGAAAGGGCAATGATGAAAAGTCAAAAAAACAAAATCACGTGGGTGAAAAACTCGAAAAGAGTTCGTGTTTCAACTTTTGACCCCTACCCTCGCGTTTTGTTATCTCGAAACATTAAAATTTGGAAAAATATTTTTCCCCTTTTCATTGTTTTTTGGAAATTTTTTTATTTTATTTCAAAAACGTGGGTTACATTAGTCCCAAAACATTTAAAATTTTCTGAAAATTTGTTTTGTTTAAAACATTAATACATGAAATGAGAAAATTTTCTTTTTAGTTTATGAAACCCGCCTCATTTTGAAATTTCCATCGGCTTTTAATTGCGATCACTATTATTGCCTTGATAAGTCATTCGCATAATTTAGGCATTGGACGAGGAGGAGATCAAAGTTTCCTTAAGAAAGAGAGAAATTAACGGAGATCTACCGGAAAAGGTATCTAGCGCCATAAAATCTTGTATTCCGTTCCTTATAGTTTGGTGTCGTTGAAATTAATGACCAATTTACAGAAAAGTTGGGGTGTCTCTCAGAAGCTATAATCGCAACAAAATTACTTGAAAATTGCAGACTCGACTTGATTGAGCCTGTACATGAAGGATAATGAAAATGTGCAACATCCCCTCACATTCCTAGCTTCAATGAGCGGTACTCAATTTTCAACACTTTAAAGTGCTGGAATCAATGTTATTATCAGTTCTTGCAAATTGGACCGGTTGAAATTTCAGGCAGTTTTATCAATATCATAGCGGCGTGTATATTGACATTATTAGAAATTAGCAATAAATTCAGTCTATTAAAATATATACTAGTTTTACTTACAAGAGTGACATGTGTAGCAAAAAAATTAGTAGGAATGCTTTGAAGTATAATGATTAAAGCAACTAGCGAAACACGGTCAACTTAAGAAACATTTTAAACATGTTTGTGTTTCATTGGACAGCTATCATAATCTATACTTGCTAAAATCTCCAAAACAAAAAATTGCGACTT